TTTAATAAGAGTCCATATGTATAGCTAAAGGCTACATAACAAGCAACAATGACGGATAGGAGATACCTTCTTTTGAGTTGTTTGCCAGGATGGCCCAAGGGACTTCCAGAGAGTAAACCAGCATAGAACTGGGAAAATGAACAGCAGACCCCAATCTTATCTAAAGGAATATTGACAACTGATTGCTGCTAGATGAGGAACAGCTGACCTTCCTAAAACAAAGACATCTAGATAGGCTGACTAGATTCACTAGATGGACAAGTAGTGGGGAACAGATGGGGGTGCCAACAACACAGCAGACAGTAACAGGGATATCAGAGTATAAGGGCTCTAGTGGTGGGAGGGAGGCTATGGGAGAGTCCCATCTGGGAATTGGGTGTATAGTTGAATAAGATGGTTTGGGATGTTCTGTGTGATACACACACACACACACACACACACACACACACAAATCAGCAAATTTAAAAAGATGTATTATATTTGAGGAGGAAGCATAAAAGTTTACATCATGTTAATTAGTAGAGGTGATGAACATTACCACTGAAATCTACCCGATGACTTTATAGACATACACAGGTGCCAAGGATCCGAGTATAAATGATTATGACTAGTAATAATCAGATACATTCAGATTAGAGACGCCACCAACATCTCAGTGTTATCAACATCTCAGTAGCAAAAACGAGTCTTTCTGTAAGAACCAGTATATTTTAGAATGAAATGGAGATCTCTTTTGAGGGTTAAAAACTCATTCAATTTTATGTCTTACAGAGCTTATACTGAGGTTGATATTGTATAACTTTATTGATTCAACAGTGAACCTAGAAATTTTATATCCACTTTTGAAGGAGCTGTGTCTTTGCCCTGGAAACTGTTATTGGGCATGTTAAAAGTATAATGACATGCTTCTAAAAAAGAATAAAAATAATATTAAAAAATAATAGGAAACAGCAAATAAATAAATAAATAAATAATAAATAAAATTGGCAATATTAATACTTATACAGTCATAAATATTCCAGAAAACATTTTATTTATTCAGATTCATTCCATCCCACTTTGAACTCAATCCTGTGTAATGGAATAAAAAAATCATTTGATTCTCACAAATAACACTTAAATAACACCTAAGAGGTAGGCACAATTACTTTTCCCATCTTACAGACCAGGAAACTGAGGTCAAATTAACTTGTCCAAGTCACATCTCAGTAACTGGTGAGCAGGGAGCCTAACCTAGGCAGTCTGGCTCTAGAGTTCTACCATATTGAGCTGTTAATTTAAAGAAAGAAATAGTAAAGATGCTCTAAATTTGTTTTCAATATTAAGATGTGTTCTATTTGAAGTACTTCAACGTAATTCACACACGTGCTGACAGCAAAGGTTAAGGAAAAGTTTGTAATACCTGGTGTTCCAATGGCTTTTACGTAAGAGAAGACCATATTTGCTTTTCTTTTCAGAGTATTTTCTATGCTCTGGAGGTCTTCCAGGGTGGTAATGTATTTTACTTCATTAAAAAGAAGAGCACTAGAATAAACACAAATAAAATCCATTATACAACCCATGCATGTTGTGACTAGAGGACACAATTTTTTTTGTCTTTTCTGAGACAGAATCTCCTTGTAGCCCCAGCTGTCCTGGAACTGAACACAATTTTTAAAAAAACTAACTCCTCTGAACAAATTATGAGTAATGAGGACCTAAGCACTTTAATGACACTGGATTAAAATCAATCTCTTGGTCATTAGTCTTTCTCTGAGAACATCAACTAAGACCAAATCTGCTGTACAACCAACCTGATGTAATATCATACATCACAAGGTCTCTGGAAACCCTGTTTATGAGAACATAATACCAAAAAAGGCAAAGAATGCTTAGCATTATTATAAGACTATTTTGACTTAGTAATCACTCTGACAGTGCTGTTTCAAATTACATTAGCTTAAACACCTATTCTATATTTCTTCTACTTTTTCAAAGAAATCTAAAAACTTGATCTTCTGGAGCTAGAGAGATGGCTCAGCACTGGCTGCTCCTTCAGAGGACCAGTTTTGATTTCCAGCACACGCATCTTAGCTACTGACCATCTGTAACTCCAATTCCAGAGGAATCCGACACCCTGTTCTGACCTCCACAGGCACCGCACAATACAGGTGCACTTATAAAACACTTATCCACATAAAATAAAAATTAAAATAAAATAAAAAATAGTAATTTTTTAAAAATTGGTCTCAAAAAGACTATATATATATATATATCTTCTATTCCCAGAACAGACTCACGTTTGTTTTTTTGTTTCTCTTTGGTCATTTTGAGACAGGATCTCCCTGTGGCCCCAGCTGGCCTAGAGTTTGCTATGTAGACCAAGTTGGCCTCAATCTCAGAGATACGCCTGCCTCTGCCTTGGGAGTGCTGGGACCAAGGTGTGTATCACCACACCTAGCAGTTTGTTTTTTAAAATATATTTACTGAGCAGTAGTCACTATGTGCTAGATATTTTTGTATGCTTTCACGCACATCCTCAACAATATTCCTGAAGCATCATTTCTTTATATGGAAATGGGATGGGGTCTCAGGAACTAAGTGACTTTACCCCTGATCACTACTAGTTGCTGGCAGAGCTGAGATTGAAATCCAGGTTTTCTGACACTAAACAAGAGCTTTCTAATCTGGTACCATCCACTGTTTGGGAGAGGGTGAGACACAGTCTTGCTATTTAGCCCAGGCTGGTCTCAAACTTGCAGTAATCCTCCTACCTCAGTCTCAACTGCTAGGATTACAGGCATTTACCACCACAGTGAACCATCACTGACCACTCATATAAACTGGAAACCAAGCAGAAAGAGTGACAACTAATGAAGAGCCAGGGGCAATCTGGACTTTTACCTTTAGGCTAACATCTCAGAATTACCCTTACACTACTTCAAAACCAACTGAGTATCATCTAGTGCGCTTAAAAGGATTCCTGGAAAAAGTCTCACTTTGGGAACTACATTCACCATTCTATTTACTTCAAAAAAAAAAAATCAAATCTTGGGGGAGAAAGCGCCCCAACCTTTTTTCCCAATAAAGACTGGCTACTATAAATAAAAGCTAACACTTATTAGACACTTAGTACATGTGAGGCATAGTGCTAAGCACTTTTTAAGTAGTAGGAATTCATCAGTTTTTGAGCTGCCCCGTATTCTTGTGAGAATTCCCAGTTTTCTAAGTGTCTTCATGGTGAACACAGCCCAAGTTCCCTCATAAATGCTGATAATATTGCAAAATTCCTTTTCCAGGCTCCCTGCTGTAAGCTCCCTAGCTAAATGACCCAGAATCACTTGCCTGAGATCCCAGATCAGGAACAAGTGATACAAAGAACCAGGGACAGTATAGAAGTATTTTTGAGAAGCAGTGGCAGTAACAGCTTCAAAGGCGGCCGTTATAACAGTATTCCTACAAGCCCCAGCGCAGGCAACACAAACAGCAACCTATGTGCAGCAATGCAACAGTCTTCCCCACAGTAGCTGTGTGTCATGACTCTGCCTATAATTCAAGGCTATATGACCTCTGTCCAGTTCTCCAGCCCCTCAAATGAGGCTGAGATTTCCTATATCCACTCCAAATCCTACTGTTCAAGCCAGTCAGACCCAGATTCTAGAGCTTATAACTAAGAACCTTTGGCAATGCACTCACTTTGTCTTGTTTAATTTTCATAGCCAACATCTGAGAACGGTACCATCATTAACCCTGTTTTAAAAATAAGGTTATAGGGTTTAGAGAGGTTACCTTGTCTAATGTTCCAAAGCTCATTAAGCAATAAACCAAACTGTATCACCAAACTAATGACATTCATAATCTAGTGATCTCTAATTTCTCCCAGTGGCTTCCTAGTTTTAAAACATTCCAGTTACAGGAATCCAACACCCTCTTCTGGCCTCTGCGGGCACTGTATGTACATGTTACACATATGTGCAGGCAAAAGAGTCATACACATAAAACAAAAAATAGTAAAATAGTTTTTAAAACTCCATCATCAAATGGTACATTTTTAATTAATGGTATTTTAGTGAAATTTTAATTATTCTTTTAAAAATCTACATAACTAGGCTATAGCAGTTCTAAAAAAGATAATTTTAAAATAATTAATGTAAATATCCTAACTTTATACTTTTTTCAGTCTCAGATTTTCTAGCTTCATTCTTCTCCAAATTCATTTTTCTGTATCTTGAAAACAAAATTTTATCAAAACCTTGTTAGATTCTATTGATGAAGATCAGAGGTGAAGAACTATGGATCATTGTTCTCAAATCAAAACATACTACGTAAGTAGCAAATTCAAATGCTCCAAAAAGAGCATGGCTTATACATTCTTGAAGTAAACAAAGACTAATATTCTTAAATACAAGCTTTCAGCTCATGAACAAGTGTTTTAAGAACAATATAGGAGAGCTGGAGAGATGACTTGGCAGTTAAGAGCACTTGCAGAGGACCAGAGTTCAGTTCCCAGCACCCACATGATGGCTAACAACTATCTACAACTCCAGTTCCAGGGGATCCAATGCCCTCTCTGGCCTCTGCTGGCATTGTACAGATGGGGACACTTACATATATGCAGGCAAAACACTAATACAAATTTTTTTTAAATCAAGAAAATGAGAAGGCAAGCTACAGACAGGGAGGAAATATTTGTAAAAGACACATCTAATAAAGGACCCTTATCCAAAAATACACAAATCTGCAAATAATATGAGACGAAGACTTTAACAGATATTTCTCCTAAGACACCAGTAAGAAACAAGGTTAGGAAAAAATGCTCTATATCTGATACATTGAAGAAGCACAAATTATAACACTGGATACCACTATACACCTATTACAACAGTCAGAATACAGAACACTGAGAACATCAAGTGTTGGCAAGGATGTGGAACAATGGGAACTCTGATTCCTTACTGGTGGGAACCAAGATATAATAGTTTGAAAGTCAGTTTGCTGGTTTCCAACAAAAATAAACATCCTCTTGTCATACATACCAGCAATCACACTGATATTTACCTGCAGGAGCTAAAAATATACATCCACAAAAACACTTACATAGCGATGTTATTCCTAGTTGTCAAAACTTGGCAGTAACCAAAGCAACCTTCAGGAGGTGAATTAATAAATTGTGGTACATCCAAGTGATGGACTATTGTTCAGTGCTGGACAGAAAAGAGCTGTCACTCCATGAAAGGACATGGAGAAAATGCAAATGAAAGTCAGAAAAGGCTACATATTGCATGAGTCCAAACATATGATATTATAAAAAAGGCAAAACTATAGAGATTCTAAAAAGATCAGTGATTTCCTGGGGTGGAGAGAAGATGGTTAGGAGCTGAATCAGTGGAACAGACTTTTTAGGGCAGTGAAAATACTCTGTATGATACTATGGTGATGAATTCATGTCATTGTACATGAATACACAGCACTAAATGAATCCTAAGTATCCTATGGACTTTGGGCCACTGGGATGTGTCAGCAGGGCTGGCCTGGACCTCAGGGGTATAGCATCTGCCTAGCCTGTGTAGGCCTGGGTCAGATCCTCAGCACCACCCAATGGGGGAGGGCAGTGTATCAGTATAGGCTGATTCGCTGTAACAAATGATGTGCACCCCTCTGGTGAGGAGGGATGTTGGTAATGTAGGAATTTATGCATGTGTTGGCACAGGATAAATGGGAAATCTCTGTGATTTCATCAATTTTTTTGCTATGAACCTAAAAGTGTCCTTTAAAGAAAATGTCTTTAAAAGCAAACATTCCCTATTGGAAGGCACAGGAGATACTTGAACAAATGAAAAAATATCATGTTCTAGGATGAGAAAAATTCATTCTTAAGCTGTCAACTGTCCCTAAGATAACAAAGACTTACTATTAGAAGTATAGACAGGGAAGGGAAAGAACTGGACAAGCTCATTTTAAATAGCATATGGAAACAAACAAGCAATTCTGAAAATAAAAATATTAAAGGGCTAGACCTTTTCAGATGTTATACTACAAAGCCTCAATAAATGAAACCAATGGTACTGGCACACAAAAAGATAAATAAAACATAGTTCAGAAACAGAAACCAATACATAATGAGTTTAGTATAAACCATGACACAGCAAGTTCTGAAGAAATCTATTACTTCAGCCATGTTGGAGCACCTAAGTAGCCACCGGGATAATACATAGTCAAATGCATTCCTCATATCATTCACCATGTCAAGTTCCAGACGTATTAAAGACTTTAATGTAAAATAAAAACAAGAAACACATGCATACAAATATAGTCTACTGATATTTGCCAAGGGAGCAAAGGCAATTCAATAGAGAAAGGGTAGTCTTATTAACAAAAGATGCTGGATAAACTGGCCATCCACCTGCAAAAACTGTGAAATAACATAGTGACTCTACAACTTACACAAAAATTAAGTCAAATGAACCTAAATGGACAACATCAAACTTTGGAGTGCTTGCCTAGCATGCACAAAGCCCTGGCTTCACTCTCTGGTACCACATATCACTGAATGTGGTGGCACACACGTGCAATCCCAGTATTAAGGTAAAGGCAAGAGGATCAGGAGTTCAAGGTCATCTTTGGCTACATAGTAAGTTCGGGGCCAGCCTGAACTACATAAGACCCTGCCTTGGGTAACCTTGAATTCATTTTAAGATACAGTATCAAAATTACAATCCTTAAAAGAAAAACTGTCAAGTTGAACTTTATCATTATTTTTTAAAATCCTGTGCTCTACATAAGAAACCATTAAGGGAATGGGGTGAAATGCCACAACTGGGAGAAATTATCCACAAAGCACATATCTGATAAAACACTTAGATCCAAACCTACAAAAGAACTTTTAAAACAAAAATAAACCCAATTTAAAAAGCAGGCAAAATATCTGCATACCACAACAAATAACAGATGGCAAGTCAGTATATGGAAAGATGTCCAACATGAGATACCACTACACACCTATTACAGTAGCAACAAACAAAACAAAACACCAAATGCTGGCAAGGATACTGAGGAACAAGAAGCCTCACTCACTGCTTGTGGGGATTCAAAACGGTACAGCCACTTTGGAAGGCAGTTTGGCAGTTCTTATATAATCTACAATATGATCCACAAAGTACTGCTCCAAAGTAATTATAAACAAATGAGCTGAAAACATATCCATACAAAAACCTACACGTGAATGTTTACAGCAGCTTTATTCGTAACTGCCAAGTCTAAGAAGGAGCCAATATGCCTAGCAGGTGAGTGCATAAACAAACACTGGTGCATACTGACAACAGAAGCCACACAACAGACTTAGCAATAAAAAGAAATGCACATCAAACCATGAAAAAAACATGGTATCATTTATATATTGCTAAGCAAAAGAAGCCATTATGAAAAAGCTACATGATATGTCAATCATGACATTACAGAAAAGACAAAATTACAGGGACAGCAAAGATAAGAGTGGTGGGGAGGAGGAGGAGAAGAAAGAAGAAAATACATGAAGTTATCAGAAAAAAGTGATGGGGAGATATGGGAAGAGCTGGAGGGGAGGGAGTGGGCATGGATTTGATCAAAACACCTTATATGCCTGTTTGAAATTCTCAATAGATTATTTTTTAAAAATTCTCAGACACTGGGGCTGGAGAGATGCCTCAGTGGTTAAGAACACTCACTGGTTGTTCTTGCAGAAGACCTGGGCTCGAATCCCAGCACCCACATAGCAGCTAACAACTGGCCATAACTCCAGTCCCAGGGGATCCGACAGCCTCTTCTGACCTCCGTGGGCATTGCACAACATGGGTGCACTTACCTACATGCAGGCAATACACGCACACACATAATAAAAATAATAAAATTTTTTAAAACATTCTCAGACAAAAAGGGGTCTTGAGTGGAAAAAGTTTAAGGAGTCCTAGTGTAAAAGATGGAGGGCAGAGATCCTAGTCCTTGAGCTCAATTATCTACAAAACCTGCACTGCACTGGTGATGCACCAAGACTGCCAAAGTAGGGAAGCTTTCCCCCATGAAGAAAGCCTGGCAAAGCCTCGTTTCTATCCTAGGTTAGACCTAACAGTGTACATCACGGTTCTGGCCTAGAACTGAAGCCCTCACCTTACTGAGTTGACACTGAAGGTAACTCACATAAACAGCAAACAAATCTCCCCTACCTGACCTGCCTACTCTTCTACTTTCATCTCCTGCTTCACGTTTTATATTCATCAAAACTACCTTCCCCAAACTATTTCCAACCTCCATACCATTGTCACATTTCCCCTTGCTTTCTCTCTTCACCAAGCACTTACTCATTAAGACTCACCCCAACTGCCACCTTCTTCCAGAAGCCTACTTAGTAAATAACCACCCTCCCTCCCTTCTCTATACAGCTATTGGCCTTCTGCATAGACGTCTACCATTTTACTTACCACACAGTATCATCTACATCTACTGCCACAAGATATGAAATGTCTCAAGAATAGAAGTCACAGCTATTCTGTTCTAAATCCCCAATGCCAACAAGTATCTGGCACACAGTAGGAACAAGGGTAAAATCTATGTGTAGTTTGTGTTCTATAAATTGGCATTAGTATAGCACTAGGAATGTAGAACTACCACAGCAGGAATGGATGCAGCACAACCTGCAGGCTGATCACTTCCGATAACAGGCTCCTCAGAGCACTGACAGTCTCTTCCAAAGATCCTGGGCCCAAATGTTTCAAAACACCTGGTCATGAGGCTTCCAATCTGGCGTCAAACCTGGACTCAGGCTTTAAAAAAAAAGGCAATGTTAGTACCCCCATCCCTCAACCTTTCTCTCATTTTCTTCACCCTCTTCTGGGTCAAAGCCTGTTATCAGTACACACTGGGAAAAAAAGCAGCAAAACTCCTAAGTTTCCTAAGAACAATAACTATCTACCACTTTGGTTTTTTGCTAAGCTTCGTATAACTCCTAGGAAAGGGATTCTAGGGCAGTGTAACAGCCCTTCGGAATTTCTTCTTCAGAAGGCCATCTTTCAGGACCACCACAACAGACTATAGACTATAGACTGTAAGACCCCTTTATATTAAATGCCAAGAATTGGAAAATCTAGAGACATAGTATACAAGGGGTTGCTTAGAAGTAGGGCATAGGAAGATTAGAGCTACAGAGGCAGGGATCTTTTTAAGGTAAGAAAAACCATGATAATAATGGCATACATCAATAAATATACTAAAAACTACTGAATTATATACTTTAAATAGTAAATTGAATGATATATGAATTGTATCTCAATAAAGCATTTCTTCTTTTTTTTTTTTTGTCTTTTTGAGACAGGGTCTCTCTGTAGCTCCCACTGTCCTGGAACTCACTATGTAGACCAGGCTGGCCTTGAACTCACAGAGATCCACCTGCCTCTGCCTCCTGAGTGCTGGGATTAAAGGTATGAGCCACCATGCCTGGCAATAAAGCATTTCTTTTAAAAAAAAAGTAAAAGGTCATCACTCACCCATCAACTGCCCTTGGGACTCATGATTGTCAGAAATGTCTAAAGATCTTCCCCATTTCACATTTTAATATATTATTAGGACTGGAACAATTAAACATGTCCATTTGTAAAGTGACAGCCACAACTTTTCACCTATATTTTCAATTTCCTGTAACCTAACTTTCATCTACATGTTGTGGATTAAGAGAAAAGCGGAAGTGGGAAGCCAAGCAGAAAACCTTAAGGGATAACAGACCTGTAACATTTAACTGGAAAGGCCTACGTAAGCTTGTATATTTAACAAGTCCTATCTTCTAGCTTTGTCACAAAAAAAGCACCAGATTTTACTCAGAGTTAGACTGCAGGCTTGAATCCAAGGCCCAAAAGTTCCAGACCAGGGAACTTAAGATTCATTCTTAGTAATCACGCACAGGGACTCTTTCTGAGCTGGCACACAACTACAGATCCAGAAAGAAAAAAAAAAACATGATAGTACACAAAGGAAATAAAGTACTTTTTTTGGTCTTTTTGGTCTCCCTGTAACCCCAGCTGGCCCAGAACAAACTGTGTAGACTAGGCTGGCCTCCAACTCACGGAGAATCACCTGACTCTGCCTCCCGAGTGCTGGGATAAAAGGTGTGCGCCACCAAACCCAGCCTGGAAACAGGAAGTACTTTAAAAATCCTAACACAATTAACAAAGATAAGTTTCTTACCTGAGCTACCCTCTGAAAGCTTGTGTCCTTTAAATTCATATACTGCCACCTTAGTCCCCAAAATGATGGGTTATTCAGAGGTAGGACTTTAGGGAGTGATTAGCTCATGGGGTACACCCTTTATGGATGAGATTAGTAGTCTCATAAGAGAAACTTCAGACATCCAGTTCCTTCCTGTCACTTGGAACACAGGAAAAACACACCATGCTGGCCCTCATCTTATATCAGATCTGCCAATACTTTGACCCTGGACTTCTAGCCTCAGAACTGTGAAAAATAAATTTCTGGTTTAATGTCACCTAGTCTGTGGAATGTGTTATAGCAGCCCAAACAGACTAAGACACCAAGTAGAGCCTCACTCCACTAGTACAATCTAAAGCAACTGTATGATGATAGGGCCTTACACTAAGCTATCTACTTTCATACAGAGTAGGTTTTCTGTACTCTTTGTCATGAAATAAATTTTAGATCCTTGATATGAGAAGATGAAGCAGTGATTTGTATAAAATTGATGCCTCCAAGTGCAATATTAAAACTGTAAAATATTCCCAAGGACTATGATTCTCTAAAATGAAATCATGGATAAATAAGTGAATGAGTACCCTCTGTACTTACAAGAGAACATGAGCAACGATGGCATTCACATCAAACAAGGTGTCAGTAGGGAATTCTCTGAGCAGTATGTTGCCTCTATAAAAGTTCAAAAACATGTTACAGTAATGTTTCCTTAGAATCCAATTTGCTCGACCAATACATTAGGTTAAGTTCTTTGAATACAAATACCTGAGTGCTGGTACACAATATACTCAAATATATATTGAATGTACACTCAAAAAGTATACTGATTTTGAAAAGTTTAGGACCTGTACCTGGCAAAAAGACTGGAAACAAACAAACATGAGTCCAAAGAAGTTTCATAACAACATCCCCATTACACACAGATTCTCAAACTGAGCTGGGAAGGAAACAAACAGGGGAGAGAAGAGTTTCCGGAGCAAACAGAATGTCTCTCCACTTCCTAGACCACATCTCAAGGGCTTGAGGAACAGACTTGTGACACCTCAGAAGATAGCACAGCCAAGGGCAGAGGAATCAACTCCTAGGCACTGGCAGATCCAAGAATAAAGGATACCCAAACATGGAGCCAGAGCCAACCAGAACACTAAACCTGCTAAGGGCATTCTTACCATTTATAATGGGAATTTACATAAGAATCTCGGGCAATATTCAAAGCAACCCTGTGAAGTAGTTATTACTCTCCTACAGAAGGAAGCTAAAGTTCAGAGGTTAGCTAACAAGTCTATTACTTAGACTTTTTACTAAACTTCCTGTGATCCCTAATAAATACAACTTTATTCCAGTTTAGTGATATTTTATGTACTTAAATACATAGAACTACAGCTTAATATTTGTATATCACTCTCCAAAAATAATTTACCTGAATAAATATGCTTTCATCAAATCCTCTTCTTTACCACAGTACCTTGATGTTTCTTCTTTGACACAATTAACCTTTAAAAGATTAAAGTTTAAGGTATATATCAAAAGGTCAAGTTTCATGGTTAGGAAAACAAGAGAATTAAACATCACTGCCTCTCCAAGTTAAATTTTGTACTTTTACCTATTTACCTGATTTATAACATTAGTGCTCACTTATTCAAGTGCCTGAGGAAACCCATAGAAAGGAATAGTTTTTCACAACTCAAAATTATATTTAATTTTACCTGGATTTACATTTAATTCAATCTTGCAAAACAAGCAGCACAAGGCCAGGTAAAAAAGGGAGGTAAGGCAAGATAAACAACCATGTAATAAAGCCAAAGAGCAGAGGCTGAGGGTGAAGCTCAGAGATAAAGTAAGCACAAGTGAGGCCCAGTTCATTCCCCAGGAGTTTAAAAAACAAACAACACTGAGTGTTAAGTGGGGTCCAAGGGCGAGGCTCAGGGGCTGAACACAGGTGTGGGAGGCAGGTACTCATGGTTCCCTAACCGATGTACATCCTTCCTTTAACAAAACTTTAAGTAAAAATAAAATTTTTAAAGGCCACATTAAAAAAAAAAAAAGCTTTTCTAGAGCCTTGCATGGCAGAACATAACTATAATCCTACCACTCAGGAGGCAGAGGCAGGTGGAGCCCTGTAACATTGAGGCCAGCCTGGTCTACATACTGAGTTCCAGGCCAGCTAAGGCTACAGGGAAACCCTATCTAAAAAATAAAATTTTTGGCCCTCACCTCCCTCTATTTCCCTGGGCTTGTAGGACCCGCAGGCCTCTCTCCAGGGTAAGCCGATCGCGCCCTCCACTCTTTGACTTCGCCTCCCCTTGACTCCCCCAGCCTCACTCACCCTCCCATCTCCCCTGTTGGTCTCTTCTCCTAGCCTGGGTCCTGTCCCATTCCTTGTCTTGGCGCCCCAGACACCTGGGGAACCACCACTGCTTCCTGATCCTTTGCATCCAGACCAACTCAGTTCCTTCTTGGGTCCCCAGGAACACTGCTTCCGGGCCTGGCGCCGCCCTCACCTCCCTCTTCTTCCCTGGGACCCACAGGCCTTTCTCCTACCTGCAGGCCTCTCTCCTGGGTAAGTAGATCAAGCCTTTGGTGCCTTGACTCCCCCAGCCTCACTCACCCTCCCATCTCCCCTGCCTGTCTCTCCTCCTAGCCTAGGTCCTGTCCCATTCCTTCTCTTGAAGCCCTAGACACCTTAGGAACCACCACTGCTTCCTGATCCTTTGCATCCAGAGCAACTCAGTTCCTTCTCCGGTCTCCAGGAGGACTCTGGGCCTGGACCCGCCCCACCTCCCTCTACTTCCCTGGGCTTGCAGGACCACCAGCCTCTTTCCTGGACACTGGAGCTGACCTTCCCTCTTCCTGATCCTTTGCATCCAGACCAACCCAGCTCCTCAGTGCAGTCCCCAGGAGCCCTTGGGGCTGCTTCCCGACCCCATCTTCCTTTGCATCTCTGGGTAGCACGGCCACCAGCTGCCCTAGAGACCAGCATCTTTCCTGAGCCCGGCTCCCAGGCCAATCCAACCGCCAAATTCCTGAGGCTAAAATCTTTCTTGGAGGGATCCAGACCTTAGGAGAAAGCCTGAGAGCATCTGATTCTCATCTGACTTGGGCCTCTGTGGGAACTTCTGAAGACAAAAGCAATCTGGCCACTCCAATATAAAATCAAAAGAGAGAACCAGAAGCTTAGAGGAACCAGCTTTTCATACCCAAAAAGTAAAGCACAAAGACACATAAAGTTCACAAAAAGACGCAGACCAAAACTTGAAGGCCTGAGTCTCACACAAGAATCAGAAACTACAAAGGAAATTCACAAGTCAAAATCACAGAGAAAAAATAATAACATGAAAAACCAAAATAAGATATCCCCACCAAATGCCAATAGTCCTCTAGAGGAGTACAAAGAAAACCCCCTAGAGATAGTGCAGGACTTGGAACTCAAAAGAACAATTATAAACAAGATAAAAGAATTCAGTGG